ATTGACCCCGCCGCGGTCGCGTGCCCGCGGTCAGTGACCCCGCCCCCGCCAAGGTCGCGCGGCCGAGGTCAGTGACCCCGCCGCAGTCACGCGACTGAGGTCAGTGACCCCGCCGCAGTCACGCGACCGAGGTCAGTGACCCCGCCGCAGTCACGCGACCGAGGTCAATGACCCCGCCAAGGTCGCGCGACCGAGGTCAGTGATCTTACTGTAGTATATATATAATACATATAATACAATATAAAGTATAATATTATAAATACATAATAAATTATATGTGTAATATATATTATTTAATGTTATATATAATATAAATTACAGTCACGTTACGTTAGTCACGTGTTGTTTTTCTACTCTTTCTTGTCTCACGTGACTTTACTTTAGTCACGTTTTTAATTTTCTCCATGTATACGACGAAGTGTCACAAAATGGCTTTTCTGGTATTATTTACTCTCTCGATTTTACCGATTTGATTCAATCTCGACTCGACTCGATTAACCAACCAACCAACTAATCGGCAACGCGGAAAAGAGGCAACAATAGATGCGATATATTCGATATCCAAACGCGCTCTTCGCGGTCCAAATGGATTTTTTTTTATATAGGAGGATTAGATTTTGTCTTTTTTTCGTATTAAAAGTTTTTTCTCGTTAGTGTCTAAATAAACGAAGCGATAAAGTGAACCAGTGAATTTATTCGTGCATTTGCAATGAGCAAAAACATGACCTCAAAGACGTTTCACAATTTCTTTCCATTTTCGGATTAAGGATTAAATCTTTCGTTGGAAAAACGTCCGCATGCCTCACGTCTCATTTCACACATAAAGTTGCACACACTCTCTCTCTCTCACACACACATACATGCATTCCATTTCACGTTGTGACAATTGACTATTTTGCTCTGATTGATGCGTTTCTTCCGCGCAGGTCTTCATGCTTAAAGTTATTCTGGCTTTTCGTGTCGTGCTGCCGCGCTGTCGTGCTAAAGCACGCGATACTTTAGCAAGAAAATCTCTGTCGCCAGGGTCACGCACAGGATCGCGACGCGGGAGTCGCGCCAGCAGCGGGAACACATCGGCCGCCTCGGTGAAATCGCCGAATCATACGAACAACGTCGCCGACCCGGTCCTGGAGAAAGTCACCGTCGAGATTCTCGACGCAAAGGCGTAGAGACAGACGCATAATTTTCGTACTGTACGGTCTTGTCTTTTGACCCCCGCGCGCGACCTTACGATCCGGAACACATATTCCTGTTTGTCATACTAGTAGTGTCTCGCGCCAAAAAGCCAATATATCCACCATCGGTGGCGTTTTACGCGCAGATCGCCGTCCGATACAGGAAAAAAAATAAATAAATAAATTCTCGTCAAATTGGCTCGTAGAAATTTGTTTTCGTGTGAGAAAAATAAAAAAACAAACAAACAAACAAACAATTAACACGTTCGCGACAACACCGGCTACAGGACTAAATCGCGAAGCGCGTTACATTCGAGTGTCGAGATCTCGACGAGCTCGAGACGTCGAAAAAATCTCGCCTAAAAAAATATCTATGTATTGTTGTGCTGCTTTCAGAACAGCAAGAGGATCGTCCGTCGTAGAGGATCGAATAGCGATCTCTTTCCAGCACGTTTCCCTCCAGTTTTTCTTTTTTTTTTCGACAAAATTTCGATAAACTTTTCGTATCTGTTGTAAGCGCAAATTGAAAAAAAAAACGACGATCCCTCTCCCGCTCTTGAGTTTTTCTCGAACGAACGTGAAAATTGAAAACTGTCTTGGCAAGAAAAAACAAAAGAAAAATATGTGGCTCGTCGCAAATGCGGTAGAACGAAAACAAAACAAAACACTAATTGCAGTACTTTAATTTAGATAGTATTAATATGAGTCGTTCAGTAAAAAAAAAAAAAAAGAAACTTAGATAGAGAGCAAGGAGAAATTATGCGATATATTTGAACTTTCGACGAAAGAAGCGCTGTTAGAAAAGAGAGACGTCGTTAAAGGAAAATAGAACTTTAGAGAGAAAAACGCTTTAGTTAATTGGCGCGATAGTTACGCACTTGAAAGATAAAAGAGATAGAAATTACCATTTTTCCCTTTGCGCGCGATGACGACGCGACTAATCTGATTGCTGCTTGCGCTCTCTACGAGACACGATTTCCTTTTCTCCTCCGTTTGTTTCGCTTCGTGGTAACCCTCCAGAGCGCGCCGAAAATCCCGACAATTGCGGCGACAAACACAATTGTCGAAGTTCACCTTCTGTAAACGTGAAAAAACACATTACGGACCAAGCGGTTTTTGGCACCGCATTCGATCGTTTTTTTTGTTTAAACGGGAAACGCGTAAACCGAGTACGTGCAATCGAGTACGTGCCATCGTACGCCAACACGTATACTATGTATAAATATATCAAAGAAGGGAAAACGCAAAGCGTAGATCGCACGTAGATAGGTAAATTAAAGATCGGCGAGAAAAAAAAAGAAACGGAGCGAAGACGGTGATGCAAAATCGAAGCGACGATCAAAACCGCCTTTTTCCTGAAAGTTTTCTCAGAGATGCGCCATCGAGACGCGAAAGGACGACGATCGCGGGATCAAAAAAAAAAAAAAAAGACAAAAAAAAAAAGAAACCCTTTCACATCGAAAGCGACGCTGCGACTCGATTGGTTCGCGACAAAAAGCCAACGCGAATGGGACCAGAGTAAGTAAGGTGTGCTTTGAAGTGACACCACGGAAACGTGCGAAAGCTGAAAAAAAAATAAATAAATAAAGCGTGTGAGGCGCGTTATCACAGATTCGCTAAAAAAAAAAAAAAAAAAACGACGGTGCCACGCAGCGGTAATTCAAGCGCATCTGACCATACAATCGTATTAATCGTGTATTAGCGTTTTAAATAATAATCGAACAGAAATTTATAAATTTATCGAAGCACGAGTTTTCTTAAGGTGATGCACAAATTTCCTAGAGGAAAAGGTAGCAGCTTGGGCGAATTTTTCTCCTAGAGATATATACGTTTCGAATTTTAGAAGCTCCTCTCGCGCTTGTTTCGAGACGATACTGTTCATATTACGTAGACATTTAAGAAAAACAAAACTAAACAAAACGAAAAAAAAAATATACAACACTGCTAGGAAAGTTTAGAGACTTCCTGATTTACTCGAAGAGCAACACGCATCTTATATATTATTGCAAGACACGCACACTCTCATTTTACAAGAACAAGCAAATATCGCGCGCTGTTGAAACACTTTCGAGAAATTGTCGAAAAAAAGTCCAGGAAATTTTGAGATAAATTTTCATTTGACGACTTTGTTCGCGCGCGATTTGTATCTTTTTCCTGAATATATATATGTATAAAAAAAACACGACGCACTGTGTTGCGTAAAATTAAAAAAAAAAAAAAAAAAAACAGAAGCTCAGAAACACGACGAATTAACGAACACACGCGTAAAATATATATTTACATTCCGTACGTCACAATAATTTTTCGGCACCTAACAATCGATATCTCGTAAACTAAATAGAAATACACATCTTCTCGGTTTCGCGATTCTCGCAAAAAACTTCTTCGCCATTACTGACGTAATTTTAGAACACACCGATCGTCGTCTATGACATCGTGTGACAAACAAACAAAAAAAGAGTTTTTCTCAGCGACCAAAAAAACCAAAAAAAACCAAAAAAACCAAAAAAAAAAAAAAAAAAACAGCATCGCAAATTGTAAGCGCACGTTTTCGACGCAGAGATACTCGACTACTTTATATACAAAAACTGTCTTATCTAATCGCACAAGATTAATATCTCGAAAGCTTTTTGCTGTAGACGACAGAATAATTTAAAAACGGAAAAGTCGAGACACGGTGTAGAGCCCTCCTCGGTACGATTGTATCTGAGCAATTTAGTGCCTGCGGCTGTCGCTAGTTTGTAGATCGAACACAAATTACTCTGCTAATAAAAATTTATTACGAGAGAGAGTATCTCCTTGTGAGTGCGTGTGTGTGTGTGTGTGTGTGTACTCTCGTGCCATAAATTTTTATATACACACACACACGCGCATACGCATGTAATATGTAATACCTCCGCGCGCGTACATCGCGCGAGATAATCTACAAAACGTACACATGTGTATACATACGTGTGTACGTATATATAAATGCGTACGAACGCGATATCATATATTGATTTGAGAAACTTGGCACTATTTGCACCGTCTTTGTAGATTGTACGTCTGTAAAAAAAAAAAAAAAAGAAAAAAAAACGCCTAGAGCGATTGTCTCCACTCTGTGATCCGTGCAATACGTGCGTAGCTGCAATTCTCTTCTCGCGAGCATCGTCATGAAAACGATTCAATAGTGTCATTATTCTAATTGCTGTCGCTATTGTTATTATTATTATTATTATTATTATTATATTGTGTAGCTGCTCCCGCCGGAGCGAAGACTCGCTTAAGTATATTGCATTCGCGCATCCCGCACCTGACACACATCGTCCGCAAGTATGAGTATTTTATTCTTCACGCTCGAGAGGAAAACTAATTATTATTATTATTATTATTAATAGCGTTTAAACAAAAACCGCGTCCGTCGCGTGATTTCTCGTCGTAAGAAGAAATGTGTGTATGTGTGTGTGAACGCGCGAGTGAGTGTGTGAAGAGCGAGAGAATTTAGCGCGTAAGTAATTTATTAGGCAATTTAATTAATCGTATGTGTAATTACACAAAGTTGTAAACACGCGCGTAAATCGCGCGCGGGAAATCGCGGGATACGATGCCGCGAACGAAATTCGGGGAAGGTTTCGCTCGCGGGATCGCGCGATTTCTCGAGCGACGCATTGACGCGTTTATGTATCTTTTAAGAATTAATTGTTAAAAAAACACACACGCTATATAAATTATTTTAGAAAATTTTAAAGAGCACTCTCGCGCGATCTATCGAAGTCTATGCAGATCGGGGGGATTATCCCACCCCCTCCGTTCTTTCTTTCTCGAGCTTTAGAGGATAATGTTGTTCGTGTGTATTATATATATAATAAATATATACAGTCGACGCGCTTTTCGACGAGAACGGCGCAGAGGCGCCAAGTACTTTAAGTACGTACGTTTACTCGATATAATAAATCACTTTATCTACGCAACGAGTACAATTTGTAAGCCGAGTTTTGTACTTGCGCGCACAGACCTTTTATCTTTACCGCTTCTTCACGGAAGGACACGAAAAATCGGGAAAAAAGAAGAGGAAGAAAGCGAAGGAAAAGAAGAGTGCCTACGTTCTTTGTTGTTGTCATAACTTCGAAGAAATCGCTCGCGCTCACTCTTTTGCAAACGTCTCGTAGCTTCTTATTGCGCGAGAGTTCGAAGAGTAACGCGCCCACATTTTTTGCACACGATTTTTAACGCGTCGAGAATAATAAGATTAACGGTATATTTTTTCTCTCTGAGCGTTTAGATCGAGTCTCGCGTGTGTTATCGCGAAAAGTGATGATTCTCTCTTTCAACGGCTTGAATAAATCATACTTGTAGTAGCCGAGTAATACGAGCGTGACGTTGGAATCGATTTTCGTTTTTTTTTTAATACTGAAAAAACGCGCAGAGCGCGTGTCAACAAGCCACGTGCGTGTGTAGATTTCGATTGATGTCGTCATCACAGCTCCCGCGTGTGCTACTCTATTGTTCGTCGAACGATCCGGGAGTATCTAACAAAAAGAAAAAACAGTGTTTGCGCATTACGGCGTGCCAAAATCACGCGTTTCGTTTTGTCGACAAATTCACTTTGTCGAGCCTGTTTCGTTTCAACGTGAGTGAGGAGACAAAAGATCCGGGAATGCGTCGTTATGATTCAAATATGGGGAAGTGTTTGGATCATTCGCGCGTTCCTTTTGAAAATTCAAACGGGAAAGAAAAATTTGTTGAAACTATATTACACGCTCGTAATTTATCGAGCAGCTCGTTTTGACCGAAAAAAATAATAAAAACGTAGTCGCGACGAGAGAAGATCTGATCGTAGAAAAACAAGACAAAGGAAATTAGCGAACGAGTTTGTTAGAGCGCGCGAAGCTGTAGAAACAATCTTTTCGGTTCATCTCGATCGACCGGTTTCGATCTCTCAGCGTTTCTCGCGGGCGTCCGAGACGCGTTGTGTAGATGAAACATCATTTTTGTGTCCCTCCCCTCCCCTTCCGAAATTCCGAGAGTGACAATCCAAGGGAAGACGCGCGAAAGCACTTTCGAACACGAGAAATGTTGTTCTCTCCGAATCGAAGAGAACCTCGGGAATCTTTCCCCGAGAGCCGCGACGCCTCCCCCGCGAGTTTCTGATTTACCCTCCCCCCCCCCGTCCCTCTTTTTGCGCATCTTCAAATACAGCACGATTATTCACAATCACACATTTGTACTTCTACGGTAATGTAAACATTGTAATGTAAGTTAATTATTAACGAGAATTATTAACTGCGCGAGATTATTATCTTTAAGCCGAGGCAAGGAGTAAGTCACTTCTTACTGCGAGATATAAATATCTATACAATGTATCTTAACAAGCGTTAAAACCCTTCGCTTCGTTCTTAAGAGACTATACTGTGTATCCTATATCGAGATATACGCATTCTATTATTAAGCTTTTTGCGCGGATATATCGCCACACAAGATATTGTCTCGTATATATTATATAATATATATATATATATACAATTAATTAATATAAATATATATCCTTGAACTCTTTGCGCTTGCGTTTGTCATTGTCCGGACGGAGCCATCCGTCCGTCTCTCATGATATCCGTTGCACGAGAGGTAGAAGCGAATCGTCAGCGGTACTCACACGACACATTGTGATCTGATGATGATATATAGGATGTAAATTTGTAAGAATACGTGTTAAAAAAAAAAAAGAAAGAAAAAAACGACACAAAAAATATATATACGATATAAAAAAAATACTATTTATCTATATACACGCATATAATATATACATATAAATATATATTGCATATATATATATATTGACGAGAGACGCGCTTTGATTCAAACTGCGAATTAATAAAATTTGCGCGCGCGCTCTACATAATTAATTTAAACACTCGATAATCTCTAAGGATATTCTACTGTTACTGTTAGTGTTGTAAGTTTTTCTAGGCGGCAATTGCGGAAGAGAGAGAATTTTTTGAATTCGTCTCGCTCTTGACGATCCAACGCGTCAAGGATGTGGGTAAGCAAAAATTGTACTCAAGTCTGTTGCGAAAAGGCGCGTTGATATTGATCGAGCGGAATTCCAAGAAGAAAAACAGACACCGCGCGTGATTGTGTATAGGTGCGGGTATTATTAATTGAAATCATACACGCGAGTCCCCCCTCTTTTACCAAATCTTTAGTATTTTAGTGTTTTATAAAAAAAAAAAACAAGTTCGGTATATGCAACATACGATGTGTGAAATATATCGTTAAACTACATGACCTACGTGGTGATTACGTCTATATATATATACATACACATGTGGGTGTGTATATATATATATATACACTGACTTTACTAGCAGCTTAGAGCGTATCTCTATAAAAAAAAAAACCTTTATATATCAATACTTTTCATATATATAGCTTACGATAATTATTAACGAGTAATCTGTATACCAAATGTATCTAAAACTCAATTATATATTCTGACTCTTCTCAAGTTCGTTTTAATAAAATCTTAATACACTATATGTGTTTTCTGTTATTGTTATTTCTCTCGGATCTTTTCGAGAAGACTTAAATTTAATGCTCCAGCAAAACAACACGTGTGTGTGTGTTCTCTCACGTGGTTCTAAAAGGTGAGGGAAGTTTGGCGGGAAGTATGAGATACACGAGGGATTTAGAAAAAAACAAATCCGTAGAACTTTTATATAAAATAATACTTTTTGTTTGCGAGAATATTCACACGCACACACGCTAATATTTACACATTTAATAAACAAAGTGACATAATATTCACTCATTTGTACGAATTCTTCGCCCGCCAGTCGAGGAATTCATCGAATTCTGCCTCGTCACCGCTCGACACGTCGTCGTCCATATTTTCCTGCTTCCTGTCGGTACCCTGTACTTGCTCCATACGTTTCGCGAGATCTATCACTCTTTTGTATAAACATATTTGATTTATATTTGATTTAATTATTATAATATACACATATTCTATATTTTTGTAAAAGTAATTTTTTTTAATCAGAAAAGTTGTGGATTCTTACCTGGACCAACGTCTGATTTGTTCCTCAATTTCATCCAATTGTCTTTCCGTCGTAGCTTCCTCCTGATCGTCGGCAATAATTTGCGCGGATTGTGCCGCCTCTTCCTTAATTTCTTTTTGAAATTTCTCGTATTCTTCCTCAATGGGATCTTTGTACTCGACATTACGAACCTGAAAAAAAAAAAAAACAAAGAGAAACAAACATGAAAACTGTCTGACTTAAGAATCTCTAAGTTTTGTTGTCTTTTACCTTAGCATCCATCACTGGATCGTCAAAAAATCCTTCTGGAAGAGTAGCTAAATTCGAGTCCTTTGCTTTTTCTTTCTCTTTCTCTTCCTCCACTTCCTCTGCTTCTACCATGTCTACCTCTACCATGGAATCTTTGCTCTCTTGTGTTGGAGCGGATGGAATGATTGGTTTGGAGCCATTAATTTGCTTAGGATTGTTATCAAAGAAATCCGCTGGCAAGCTTGACTTGGCCTGCACTGCCGGTTGATTAGAATTTTTCAATATTCCCTTTATCTTCTTATTTGAAGTTTCCTCGATCGGAGAGGGAGGTCTTTTGAATGTTGTGACATTGGACGGTTTACTTTCTGTTTCCAATTTGGTTTTCTTGGCTAATGCAACATTTTCCTTGTGGACTTTGGAATTCAAGTGAACAGGCCACACTGTTTCGCTGCGTACAACGGTCTTGCACAAAACGCACATAAGCTGACCTGAATCTGTATACGTGTTTACATAAATCAATGTTAAGGTTAACATCAAACATATATTCAAGAATCACAAATGTTCTATTGACAAAGATTATTTGCAACAAATTGCCGAAATGTAAGATAAGAATATAAGATAAAATAAAAGATAATACACACACACACACAAAATACAATAAGATTCTTTTCAAAGTTTCTTATAACACAGAAGATAACCTATCGCTACACTATAAAATCATGAAAAGGATATTTGGCCAACGGTGAGTCGATTTTCTTCACTGTGCCGAGTTTCTTCTTGTGCTCGTTCATCGCCTTGCGCAGATCATCTTGCGTCAGTTTTCGATTCGACGACATTTTCACGTTATTGAAGTCACCACCACGAGAAACCGCGCTGACAGTTTGTATAGGTTATGTTTTGATTGTGTTTTACAGCTTTTAAAAGGCGACTGCCCAACCCATACTGGTGATATTCGGCAGAACTCGAATGTTTTGAATAAACATCAATAAAAAAAAACACCATAGTCCAGAATTATGGAAGACAGCAATAACGCGCAATCTGAATGGACCAATCCTTTTAAAAGCGAACGCGATGAAACGTGCGTGAAGGAACTGCCGAACAATGAATTGCTGTCACTAGTAATAAAATGCGTCAATTTTGCGGCGAAGAAACATCGAAATCAAAGAAGAAAAGATGTTGATCAAACACCATACATAAATCATCCTTTAGGTTCGCTTTCTTTGACTATTTGGATATTTGTAACACAGGTGTTTGTTTGTTAGAACTTCATATCTTTTTTTCTTATTGCACATGTGACTCGTAAAAGACTTTTCAATTATACGTATAATAGATAAATATGTGCGCAAGTAATGTTTTCAATTTTTTTCAGGAGTTGCAAATATTTTAACAGAAGAGGGCAAGGTGTTCGAGCCAGTGGTGATTTTGGCAGCGATATTGCACGACACCGTGGAAGACACGGACACGACGTTCGAGGAAATCGAGAGGGAGTTCGGGCACAAGGTTTGTCATGTGGTGCAGGAAGTGACTGACGACAAATCACTGCCGTCAGCCTTACGCAAACAGTTGCAGGTAGAACACACTCCGTATATTTCGCGCGAGGCAAAGTTGGTGAAGTTAGCTGACAAGTTGTACAATTTGAGAGATTTGGAAAAAGCTACACCCGTCGGTTGGACGAGTGAAAGAGTCAAGGAGTATTTCAAGGTGAAGTATCTTTTTGTTTTTAGAAGCTATAAAAAATATATTGCATTAATCTGTTTTAATTCCTTCGTTCGTTCCAGTGGGCGAAAGATGTTGTTGACGGGTGCCGTCAAACTAATTTCACTTTGGAAAGCGAGCTAGACGTACTGTTTGAACGTCACGTAACCCAATCCGAAGAGAGTTGAAATCTACATTGAAATCATGTTGATAAAAACACGAGGAAATTGAGGAGCAGATAAATAAGAGAGAGCAACGAAGTTAGGAAAAAAAAATGCCAAGTTGCTGTTCTATGAAAAACTGCTGCAAAAAATTATTGTATAAAATCTACACATAATATACACGTGTGTTTTTTACTCGTGTTGAGTAAATCATCAGATGTTCTAGAGTTTTCCAGTATTTTCTTTGTAAAACCACTTCATGTAAGCGGCCAGTGCTTCCACTTCTCGTATCGTGACCGCGTTGTACAGAGACGCGCGAATCCCGCCTACTGATCTGCAAAATATAATTTTTTATTACATACACTTTGTTCACATATTCTTGCTAAGCACATTTTTTTTTTATTTTTAAAGGAACAGTAAAGTTTTTATTGCAATTACATCTACTTGTCTTATCACTTGTTCTTTACCGACCTATGGCCCTTCAGTTGCTTCATACCGCGAGCTTCGGCGCCGGAAAGAAACTTCTTCTCGAGCTCTTCGTCGCCGTTTTGTATCTTGAACGGAACGTTCATCTTGCTGCGCGCGTCTACTTTGATGGGGCACGTGTAAAAACTGTCCGAGTTATCGATTATATCGTATATCATCGCGCTTTTTTTCCTTGCCAAATCCTGCATACCTTCGACCCCGCCGTTTCGTTCGATCCATTTGAACACCAACCCGACAACCCATATTCTGAAAATACATTCGGTGACAAATTGATGATTGAACGGAGAAAGAGAAGGTTTTGTTCAACATTTCAACGCCGTATCTTTAATGTTGATACGTGAAATCAATGGACACACTCACTGAAACATGGGCGGAGTGTTGTGCACAGAATTGTCCTTCGCCATCACGGTAAAATTCAGTATCGTCGGGCACACGTCCATCGCGCGACCGAGCAAATCGTCTCGAACGATCACCAGTGTAACGCCAGCCGGGCCGATGTTCTTCTGGGCACCCGCGTAAATTATCGCGAACTAAAAAGGGAGCAATGTCGAGCTAAAGACAGTGTCGTATCGCAGTTGTTTATCATTTCTTGTGGAAGTTTGTTTTCTCATTTAATATAAAATTTTACATTTAAATATATTGTGAGCGCGAGACAAAAACCAAATATTTTTTTTCTCTCACTTTAGACACGTCGAAAGGTTTCGTGAGTATGTTGGACGACATGTCAGCGACAAGCGGCACGCCGTTTGTCTCCGGAATGAAGTCAAACTCAATTCCTGTAAAAACATATTTACGCGTACATTTTTCACACATGATGACGAAGTAGAATATAAGAATAACAAATTTTCTAAGTAGTTCGTTTACCATGTATAGTCTCATTGGCGCAGTAATAAACATACGACGCGTTCGGATCCAAGTTCCAAGTGGACGGATTCGGAATTTCTGTGTACTTGGTCGTTTTCGGTAAGACCAAATTCACTTTTCCGTATTTTTCTGCTTCTTTCGCTGCTTTCGCCGACCACGCACCTATTGTGAAAATACAATTTTGTTGTTGTTTCATACAGTATATTTGATCAATCTTTAAAAACAAAAACAAAAGTGTTTATTTCGTACCGGTTACGAGATAATCTGCGGTGCCGGTGTTCATGATGTTCAGAGGAACAGCAGCGAAAATCCCGGTGCCGCCTCCTTGCATAAACAGGATCTTGTAATTGTCGGGAACGTTTCTTTGAGAAAACAAAACAATTTTCGTATAAAAAAATTAATAATTTGCGAGGAAACTGGTGCGAATATGAGAAATGAATCGAAATTCTGACTCACAGAATATTGCGCAGAGTGGCCTGTGCGTTCTCGATGACGTTTTTGAAGTCATTTGACCGATGACTTAACTCGAGAATACTGATCTTCGTGTTTCCGAACGAGAGCAATTCCTCTTGCACGTGTCGCAGAACCTGTAACGATGCGGAACAACGTGCGTGTCAGTTCAATGAACGCGATTGACCCGCGATTACGCGTTATCGCTTTGATTTATTATTGATAATGAATTTTCAAGTGCAACATGTGATCGTATTTAAATAGTGCAAAGAACACAATTTTAAATATCTCGGTGCGATTTGCGCTATCGCGCGAGCAAGAGAATTTATTTACCTACTTACTGTTGATAACAATCACGCGCGAAATACGTAAGCGTTGTTGTTTACTTATCCGAAAAGCACGAGTCGATTTTGTGAGATCTAATATATTTTACTAGAACGTGAAACGTGCGCATATTGTTTAGCACAAACAAACGATTCAAGATTCAGTTTCGTAGCGCGTGACACGCATAATGTATTGCAAAATGATTGATCGATACGACATGCTAATGAAACGTAGCACGGCTGAAACTGGAAAAACTTGTTTTTTAAACAAGACATTTTTAACTAATTTAATATAGTGTTGTGTGTTTTATTTGATAAATATTTGACGAGAAAAACAAGTTTTATGTGTGACACGGAAAACGTATCTGTGTGCGATTACATATCATGTACATACAAAGAATATATATGTTTACAAAGATAATATTCCCTTATAACGTTCTAATTAGCTCGAATTGCAGCTGGAATGCAGCTTCGTATACTGTTACATAGAAGTAAGATGATCGTTAATTCTCTTTCAGACAGTGTACACTATCACAAATGTACGTAATAATAAAATTCGCGAGACGCAATGTTTTTATTCTCTAATTCGTTAATTTTTATTCAAAACTCAGATACGTAAAATACGTTATGTAACTTTCTTAAACAATAAAAACCAAAGACTTTAGATATTGTTATTCTCGTAAACTAAATTTGTGAGACACAATATTGTTAATCCAAGTCGTCGAATTATGTATTTTTTTTTTTTTATTTGATCAAATTTAAACGCGTGTATTTATTTCGCGAACAAAAAGAACGTTTTAACGTACCTCTTCTGGCAGTTTTCCCGGTCCAGCGCCGAAATTGATCACGGTTTTGGTACTTTGATCGGTCATATTGCAGCTTGTTGTCAAACCGGACGGACGGCGCGAAGCAGACTGATGGAAAAACGTACAGAAACAAGCGGCACCGGAGCTCAGGCAGGCGGTTCTTATCGTACAACTCGTTCGCTCGGTTCGTGGGGGGTCTTGTGTCGAGAAAAATGTTGTCTCTCTCTCTGATTTTACTTTCTCGATCTAACTGGTAACATCCGTTTGATCACAACGCCGATGCTTCGGCGAATTAACACTGTCTGGTTCTATCGTGCGAATCGCGCGCAGAACGTCTCGAAACCACTTTCAAGGTCAAGATCCTCGCTCCGAAGCGTACAGTGTTGCACAATATCTTCCTATAAAATTAAAAAAACGCTTGTAATTGAAAAATACAATAAATTTACAATATATTTATATAATAAATTTTTCAAACTTTAAATTTAAGTCAATTGTTAACACAGCTTTTTACTGTGTTTTCGATTTGATTTTGTTTAAAATTTTTTTTCACAATACTAAATAAAGTGTACACGTTACGCGGTTAGAAATAAATGTAAACAAGATGTACACACACATGTATATATACAAGACAAACACTAATGTAAGTGTATTTTTATCACATCATATCAGATAATTTTACTGAAATTATGATACGCGTCTGTGTCGTGTGAGAGTGATTCATGATATAACACCTAGTGGGCAGCATCGTACATGAAACAACGTATGAGAACATTTTCATTTGATAAAGCACAACGGACACTCAACTGCAATATGTTGTCGTCTGCAAGTTGCGATCGTGTATAGATATTGCAAAATTTACGTTGATTAAAACTTATCTACATCGGACTCTAATTACATCATTTCCAGCACGCGTGTGTGTGTGTGTGTGTAAAATATTATATGTTACAAATACGTAGAGATATCGATCATATGCTCTTTCTCGTACGATTAATTATACACACAGGTCACTGACTAAGATAACGAGCTTGATTTCACAAATTTCACTTAAAAAAAAAAAATGAATCTCACGCCATATTTTAATCGATGAAAATTCCAATTCCCCGAAAGATCAGAATCTAAGTTTTAATTGTAAATCGCACACGAATGAATTTGTAGATCAGTTTGGATAATTAATTGTTTTATCAAATATTTTGAGCGAGTCGATTTCGAAAACTTGTCGAAAATATAAATTTTGTGAGAAGTAAATTCAAGCAAAAAGTTGTGTGTAAGATGCGCTAACAAATTTTTTTTTCCGTACAATTTACATTTAATTAATCAAGCGTTTGTTTAAATATATGAAATTAAGAATTCTCTTATATCTCGCAAAACTTTCGCGCGCGGAATATTATCGTCTCATAAAATGCACGAGTCTGAGTCACATGTGTATGTATATTAGTGCGAAGCAGATGCTCAAACAGAGACAAGATGATAAAAATAATCTTGTTCGCAAATATTGCATTAACTCCTTATCCAATGACCGGATAAGTGATTATAAAGAATAACGCGTAATTACTTTGAAGTTACATGAACACACGTCAACTTGAGATTGGTGTAAAGAAAACTACTGCGGCAAAGAACAGTTGACGAATTGTGTTTCAAATACTTTGGCGAGAACTATCTCAGCAAATTGCTCCGTGTTATCAATAAGCGTCTTACGTAATAACAAAAGTAAGGTCGGCCGTTCTAGGTCAATGGCTCGTTGAGCTCGTGTCTCACAATCGCAGTCGTTAACATGATGTTTGCTTCGCTGTTGTGCGCTAAAAACAATGAAAATAATAGCTGCTGAAAAGGATATTGTGTGAAAAGCAATTGAAAATTATGTAAAAATATTTGAAAAAATATTGTTTATCGATCAATGCTAGAATTATTTTCCGCACGCATGCGTACACGAGCTAGCGCTGTTTAAACGCTGTATTTCGTGCCAGTAATCTTATTCGCTCTTAGCGAATTTTTCAATCCTATTTCGCTCTTTTTCAAACTTACTCGTTAACTTGGCGTTGTATCGCTTGAATGGATTGTTGCTTACGTTTTTGCAACGTATAAAAATTTAATTTGTTATAAGGTCGATAAGAAATGTCGTACGAGCGCTTGCACCAAGAGCGGAGTTTTAGTCTATGTCGTTCCTAAAAGACGCGATCATTAGGGTCCGTTCTCTTTGTTTGCACCGCATCCGCAACAAGCTGCGCTCCAACTTGTGATTGGACGAACGAGATCAAGCCTCGCCCGCACGAGCCAATCGCGGAACTGCCGGCGCATCGGCGTGACGTGAAAACCGGACTGCGGTTGTCTGCGAACAGTGCGAATTCGCCATCACGCGTGATCGCAACGGTCGAGAGGTGACCTTCCGTGTCCTTAGCGCACAAGTCAGTCTATCGTCAGCTGCTGAAAGATCTGTTTCGCGATTTCAACGGCCTGTCGAGATAACTCTCGTTCACACGAACCACCGTTTGATCTTTCCGCTCCTGTCACGTAAAGCCACACAAAAAGGTAACCGTTTCGCACAAATTCATCTCCCCGGCTTCTGTAAGATATCGATCGACCCCCGCGTCCACGCAATTCTCCGCTCCGGCGATTTTCGATGGGAGAGTCGAGGAAGTTCAAGGTCGAATTTCGACAGCCAATGGCGTCTACCTTTAAGTCACAGTTCGGGAGAGAAAAGGCTGTTCTTCGTTTTACGAGAGAGAGTGCGATCAGGCGGTAGGGATCCGTTTCAATGGCCGCGTTCAGCGGTTCTCCGCGGCTGGGACGTCCGATTTTGCGCTCGCGCGATTGGAAATAACTTTTCTATCTGCGATAGATTCTAGAGAAGCGAGCCAATCGCAAGCAGCGAGCGCGCAAATTTGATGTTTCAACTGTCGGGTCCGCTGAAAACGCAGCCAGCAACAGCAGCCGAGTGACCTTGGCAGCATTCGCACCGCGCGTAAAAACAGATCGGCCCTTTTTACGGTGTCCCCCGGCTAACTTCTTTGTTCCCCTCAAGCGCTCAAACCTGTAATTTGTGGCCTCATTTTACGTTTTGTGTTCCGCGCTCTTTCGGCTCGAGAAAAAGAAAAGAGAATTCTTGAAAGGTAAAACGCGTTGATTGTTTGTTGAGAAGCGGATCCTACTGTGTCGAAAAAAAAAAAAAAAAAAAAATTGTTTTGCGTAAATCTTGACTATTCGAGAAAATTAATGTAAATAAAGAGATAGTCTGTAATTTATATTGTCATTTTCACACATCATGTGAAGATACTTGGGGGAACAACAATTTGCGTTGCGATGCGCGCGAGCTATTATCTCATCACGCAGCCCTCGAGTGTAATCCGGTTAAAGAACGAGTAAGGAGTCTATAGAAAGGACAAAACAATGGCCGACAATAGCGTTTATTTTTAGTAGTACTTATTATTACTCTCTTATATTTTTTCTCGAGTTGTGTTAAACATTGTTCACCGTCTTAGAAAGTACTTGCAGTTTTTGAGTGAAGATGTTAAAGTAAATAAATAAATAAACGAAGTATATTTACAGTAGATATGTAGATACATAAAACAGATTAATTGCGTGGATATTTTTTGACAAATTGAAATTACTGTTAATGAAATCACGAAAAATTGATTGTTTAAAAAATTGCGCTTGCGCAGAGATTGACGTATGCAGATCAGCTGATTACTTGCGGAAACACGTGCTTACGCATGTGCCGAGCGAAAACGCGAACGTCGCGGGAAGATGCAAAAAAAAAGACGTGTTGTCAATATTTTTTGTAATCACAACAACAATAACAAATGCTAACAATTATTATTCGCAAATATTATTTGCTTCATATCGTCACGTGAAAAAAATATTTAACTAAAGTGATTAAAGCCGGCGCAGTGTTTTTTTTACGAATCTTTCCCCGGTCATTTCTCAAAATCAATTTTGCATTCGGCCTGAACGTAGCGCGAAGTAACTTCAGATTTTTTCTCAATTGATTTCTTTCTTTGTGCAAAATTATTTCGAGAAATACCGGACAACGAGCGGGACACGCACGCTGATCCTATTTTCGGATCCCGAAAATAAATTGAGTCGGACGTAGAGGCGTCGCAATTTCTGTGTTTCTCGTTTGTCTGTGCCGATGCGCTGTGCCGTCGTGGTTTTCGATTTCCCACTCCGCTTCCGTGCGGTACGCGGGTACTTCCGGTCGGCGAAGCCCTCGACGTTCGGCCTCGCCGTCGAATCGTCGTCGCATTCGCGCGTGACTCTCGCGACCGGAAGGAACTCTCGCAGTGCCGTTAACTCGAACGCGTCGTCACTAATATCAGTCTCTCGTTTTTTCTTTCTGCAGTCTGCCAAAATGGTCTGGGTCACCGTCGACGATCAGGTACCGCCGTCGTGCGATCGAACTTTTGTTCTTTTTTTGTTTGTTTGTAGGACTTTGCAGTGATTCTCAAATAGAAAAAAAAAAAAAAAATCCAACGTAATTTCGGTGAATTGAGATTTTGCGCGATGTTCGAATTTGTGACGAGAGAAGAGAGTGACTTGTGATATTGCACTTTAACACGACGAATGTATTTTAATTCACCGAAATTATAGGAATAACCGTTTTTTTTTGTGTGTTAGCGCTTAGATTTTTTTTCCGCTGTTTCGATTTTGTTTACGCATGCATGTACATGCCACGTGCCGTGTTCGAACGCGGATCTTGTGCGATTGTATGCGCTCACATTGAAAACGTGTACAGAATAAAAAACAAAAGAAAAAGAGAACTATTGTTAACCTTGCCGAAGTATGTTGCTGATTTGACGGTAAATGTGGAAAATATGAATAGAAATAAATACAATATATACATAATTTATTGTTTTAATTAGAAATTGTCGGAGCTCTTTGATTTTTTTTTTTTTAATGCAACAATGTTACCGTCAACACCCATGATAATAGTTACACGTCGATAGCTAATCTAAATTTCTGTCTAACAAGAAATGAATAAATAACGCACCATACTTTGAGCGAAGGCCGTTATATATGAATCTAATTTCCGCGCGTCGCTTTTTATTGCAATAACCTCAAGTTTTATATCTAAAATAGAAAATCGTCGTAATCTCCTCGCTTTCGTCGCAAAAATCAAATCGTCTAAAAGTTTTCACAAAACTTGCTCGGAGAGAATTTTCTCGGAATTTTTATTTCTTTACGCAGAAAGTAAGTTCGCTTTATTCGACGAAGAGTCTAGTCATCGGATTAAATTGATGTTTGCAATTACCGCCGTTTAACGAAGTGCAACAACTTTGTACATTCGCGTTTTGCGCTGTCGGCGATCGTCCCACCACGTGAAAAACATACATGTACAATAGAATCGCACATTGTCGGATCCGCGATCGATGAAGTGATAAGTGCGAACGCGTGATTTTTATCGCGACAAAATCGTCTTATCTGCTGTTTTTTTTTTATTTTTTTTTTCATCAAAATCGTATCGCGAGACATTTCGGTTTTATAATGACACATGACGCTCCTTCATGACGTCACTTTTCACGAGAGCTGAGTCTCACTTCTTATCTATCCGCTCGTGTACCCCACGCGATAATTGTTTTACGCGCGCGCACGCATCAGTTATGCTACTGCGTCTATGAAGCTACTGGCGCTATTTTTGTCGCTGCGTTCCTCGCAGCCAGAACGAATGAGATGCGCGTCTATGTCGCCGGTTATTTGCATCGAATTCTATTCACGATGTAACTCTGCGCGCGAGAGACGAGGTTAAGAACTGTTTAATGTAATCAGAAAATATATTCACAGAACGACATTGTCGAGAAAAAAAGATTCTTTAAGTGAGAACAACTTCCAATGTACAATCACATATGCGTGAAATTATCTCGCACTCATAAATAATTTATATGAATTAGAATTTGTTTGGTAAGAGAACATTTAGAAACATTTTGTTGTGTATGTGTGTGTGTGTGTGTGTAGCTGATAGTGTTTGTTTTTTAATTTCATTTGTTGATGTTAAAATATTAATGCAATTTTATTATTTCAATACCGCACATAAGCACTCGAACCGCAAACAGAGACACACACTTGCAATTTCACCACCGCACATAATCACACAATTCCCATCTCGCAATCTCTTGTGTTTTTCCTACAATCTCTCTTTAAACTCTCCGCAGATGTCTGGCGAGCCTAATACCAAGGCGTTGTACGCCCAGAGTCAGCTGGACCACATGTGCGCCCTGGACATCGACAGCCAGGTGTCGTTCGTCCGGTTATCGGGCATCATCTGCACAATCGGTCCCGCGTCCCGATCTGTCGAGACTCTGGAGAAAATGATCGAGACGGGAATGAACATCGCCCGGTTGAATTTCTCTCACGGATCCCACGAGTATCACGCGGAGACCATCGCCAACGTTCGCCAAGCGCAAAAGAACCTGACCGCTCGTTCCGGCATCAACATTCCCGTCGCAATCGCTCTCGACACGAAGGGCCCGGAAATCCGCACCGGTCTCCTAGAAGGCGTACGTTGCATATAAAAAGTTTTCGCTGTGTTAAATTATTTAATAATTTAACTTTAATTTTATAATGTTAATTATGTAATTATTATTGTTTTAATTGCACAACAACACAGTATTCTGATGAAATCGTTCCGCTGTTGCAGGGTGGATCGGCCGAAGTGGAATTGGTCAAAGGCCAGACCTTCAAACTGTCCACCGATAAAGCGTACATGGACAAGGGAAACGCCCAGACCGTCTTTGTTGACTACGAGAACATCTCGAAGGTGTTAAAGACGGGAAACCGCGTGTACGTGGACGACGGTTTGATTTCTCTCATCGTCACCGCCATCAGTAAGTGGTGTCGATCAATGTATCTTCTAGAGTTTTGATGTATCCCAACATAAAACTCGAGATGATCGCAAAACGTGACGACGAAAATTGTAGTTCGTGCAATATTCGTTTTTTCCATTAGGTCCCAATTTGATCTCGACCACCGTTGAGAACGGTGGCATGTTGGGTTCCCGCAAAGGTGTGAATTTACCGGGAGTGCCGGTCGATCTTCCGGCAGTCTCGGAAAAGGACAAGTCCGATCTTAAGTTCGGCGTCGAGCAGGACGTCGACATGATATTCGCCTCGTTCATCAGAAACGCCGCCGCGCTGACCGAGATTCGTGAGATCCTAGGCGAGAAGGGCAAAAATATCAAGATCATATCGAAGATCGAGAATCAACAGGGCATGACGAATCTCGACGAGATCATCGACGCGTCCGACGGTATTATGGTTGCGCGCGGCGACTTGGGAATAGAAATACCGCCGCAGAAGGTATTTCTCGCGCAGAAGTGTATGATCAGCAGGTGCAACAAAGTGGGCAAGCCGGTGATCTGCGCCACGCAGATGCTGGAATCCATGGTGAAGAAACCGCGCGCCACGAGAGCCGAAACGTCGGACGTCGCCAATGCCATTCTCGACGGCGCTGATTGTGTCATGTTATCAGGTAATTCGTATTATCGATTACGCTTTTACAACAGCGAAAATATACAAAGTGATATATGAAAAAAACAATTACAAACGCACGTTTGCCGTTTCAGGTGAAACCGCGAAAGGAGATTATCCGTTGGAATGTGTTCGCACGATGGCCAACATTTGCAAGGAGGCGGAGGCCGCGATTTGGCAAACCCAGATCTTCCACGATTTGTCGAGCAAAGCTTTGCCGCCCATTGACGCTACGCATGCAGTTGCCGTTGCTTCTGTGGAAGCGTCTGTTAAGTGCTTGGCCAGTGCCATCATCGTCATCACGACATCCGGTCGATCCGCGCATCTGATCGCGAAGTACAGACCTCGTTGTCCCATCATCGCGGTCACCAGGTTCCACCAAGTTGCTCGACAGGCTCACCTGTATCGCGGAATATTACCGTTATACTACGAAGGTGCGATACTCAAGATTCGAACGTTTCGATTTTTTACTTCGATTATCATCTTCAAAACATATTTAAAAAATGATTAAAGCACATAAGAAGAAGATTAAGAAAAACTTGTGTAAAAATAATAAACTTGTATAACATACTTCTTAATTTACAAAAAAATGAAAAGAATTAATTTTTTTGTGGCGTAAAAGATTTATGTGAATTTCATTTCTGTTGTACAGAATCACCATTGGCCGATTGGTTGAAGGACGTGGACGTGCGTGTGCAGTTCGGATTGAACTTTGGCAAGAGTCGTGGCTTTGTAAAAACCGGTGATTCCGTAGTAGTCGTGACAGGCTGGCGGCAGGGCTCCGGCTTCACGAACACACTTCGCATCGTGTACGTAGAACGAGAATTATTCATACGAGATCCCGCATCCGATATCTATAGCGAATCCGATTCCTACGAAGACTTGTTCTGAATGTTGCATAACAATTATATATCCTTGTTTCACCTTTCCTTTTATATCCCCCGTATCTTAATAATTACATATATGTACAATGGTGTAGAATATTAAACTAACCTTTTTCCCATCCATGTGTCCGTCCACGTTAATTACAAATAGAGTTAAATAAGATTTGTGAGAAGCACATTGATTCAAGTATAACGTTACAAAATGTGTTTTTATACGTAGTAGAGATAGAAAGTGTATATCAACTTTGAAATTCACAATTTTACAACATTTTTGTGCTTAATGTTGTTTGTGTTTTTCAGCGTATTCTCTTCTTAAGTTTTTAATTTGTGAAAACGATTCAAGTATAGTTATCCCTGTTTGCATTCTTGATATATTTTCAGCAGTTGTACACAACTGATCTATTTGTGTTAATCAATCTTCTTTTTATTTTTAGGAACGTCGACTAAACCTCGGAAATATATACGGAAATGTATACTCGGAAAAAGAGAACATAGAAAACACGATCTTCATGGATGTAGATATTATAATATAAAAGATATTATAATATATATATATATACATAAAAAAAGGTTACCACGTGATATTCAAACGTGTATGTGTGTGTGAATGATACGTCATTCTTCCACACAAAAAAAAAGTTTCAGATAAATAAATATAATAATGTGAGAACATACGATATTAGAGGGTATATATGTGTAAACACGAAAACCCAGTATTATTCTAGAGTCTAGAACAATACGTTTATAAACGCGACACGAAAGCTTGTCGCATCAAATAAATAGATTGTATAAACGAAATTAATAAACTGGAGGCGAGAATTTGAAATAATTTATATAAATTTGGAAGGACGTTTGATTGAAATAAATTTATCAAGTGTCCGAACGTGTTTGTGTGGAAATAAATACATTCTATTTTTTTGAAAACATTTTCCCTTTCTATCTCAATAAATTTGTAATTAATCCCACATTCATGAATATGTACGTTAAATATTAATAGAGGATTATATTGTTTTATATCGACATGTACAATTTGATAAAACAATATTATTCGTTTTTTAATTTTTATGTACACTGAATCAGTAGAAATTCAATATCAAATTCATAATCGATACGATCGTGGTATTCGCGATGCTTATTCACACGGATTAGCGATAACGTCACTCCATAATGACATTTACGTCTCGCTTGACTATTCCAACTGAACATTTGTTGCGCAAATCGATTGAAATATAAGATAGTCGTATCTCGGTTATCACGCAACAAAAAAAAAATACATTTTTGCAAACTACAGATAGTTTTAAATAGTAGTAGTAACAATAAATAATATTCTTTCTAATGAGAGACGATTTCGAAAAAAGTTAAAATTTTGTTGGAAAGTTTCACAATAAATTTTTTGATACTTTCATATGTAAATGAGAAACAAACAAATTAGAAGATCGCGCGTATGAATCACAATATTGCGCACGTACGAATGACATTTCGGGACTTGTGCATTGTCGGAAACCTTTACGCAAGGATAACGCGCGTATGTCAAGGTAGGCTTTGAATAACGACCACGATTGTGTCACGTACACGCACACACACACGCATATAATAAAAAAATGTCGTGCTTGTGAAACATTATATCACACGGGACGTTAACAAGATGCTTCAGTCGCGTGCGTGTGTAATAGCGCGCGTCCTTTGTAATGCGATTTGTGAGGACACTCACACATTCCCGCGTTCCGGCAAAGGGTTTCCGAAAATTTCGTCAAACTCCCGAAGACGTCGCAAATGTCACGGATAAAAATAGAAGTTTAAAGTGGTGAAAAAATAATGAAAGTTTTTATTAAAAGACATTTTTCGATAGATCAGATATAAAATATTCAAATAAAAACAAACATAAGCTATCGAACCCACAAAAAAACGAATGTAGTATTTATAATTTTCTAATTTGACATTTGACCACAATTTTAATTTTTTTCAATATAACAAGACGCTATAGATTTGCGACATTAATTATTTTGTAAGTTCTTTGTTTGTTAATCTTAGACTTCTCTCTAGAAAAATCACAACTCATCCACACAGACGTAACGTCCATTAGACATCTACTTACAATAATAATAGAGGTTTCTAACGGACGGTTGTTCCATGTGGGCGAAGATTCATCAGGTATAAATTGACTTATAAATTGAGTTGTGTTTATATTAACAGAAAATGTACATATATGTATATGTTTCATTTGAATAGTAGGTAGTTGCAATATGAAAGTATTATTACTGCTGCTTGTGCTCTGTTTACGCGCGCACATGGAGTAGATAAATTTAACTTTGCAAGTTAACAATGATTTGTAACGGATCTTGGAGAGAAACTCCGGCTTATTGTCTACGTGATAAAGTTCTGAACTATGTAACTATGATTTACTCGAGATCAGTTTTTCATCATAAATGTACGCAGACGTACGCAGTTGCGAGAGTTGTTTTTAAAGTCAATCCTTTTAGAAAGGTTTCTTTTTCGGTTCTTTTGCAAAAACATTTTTTTTTTTCGGTTCTTTTGCGAAAACATTTTTTTTTCGTAAAACACGAAGGTCTCGTGTATGAGACGGCGTTTTGCACAGAGATTAAATTTGCGAAGAACCGAAACAAATTGCATAAATATCCGCTGCGCTTTTTCCAATCGGCAAATGTATCTTGTAAAAGTATATTTTATTACATCTTCGATGAAACATTTTTATAAATCATCGAATGTGTTTCTCGACGAGGAGTTTTTTCATGTTTGCAAAAATTCGCGTAAATCCACTTAGTGTACACGTGTACGATTACGTTCGAACGCCTTTGCACTTGCGACAAATCGGTCAAGCGTCAGCACTCGATTGTGTATCGGAAACACGCTTTTCATCAGCGAAATGTAAACGCATCGGCGCATTTTCGCGCGTATCGAGCAAGAACGTTTATGGACGTATCGCATACGGACGCGTATAAGGCGTCACATGAACGCACGGGACGAGAAGAAGATCCATTCTGTCTTTTGCGACGGTGTTTTATCACTCAGAATGATTAGGTGCAACGGCGAGACACGGAGGCGGTGGTAACGCAACGAGCGTGGGAACAAAGTTTGTACAATGCGCGATAAAAGTCGATCGTGTTCGGCGGTCAGCTCGTTATCAGCGTCACCCCCTTCAATGAATCGACGAGAGGCCTCGACTCTCGTATCGCACGATTGCCACAACAGGCCTTTCAGTCGTCGAAGTTTAATGGGTCGCCGACAAACCGATCGTTGCTGAACACTAAAGTCACGTGACTGTAGTCAGGTGTCACGTGTTGTTTTCCCTCTCCTCTCAGTTACGTGACTTTATTTTAGTCACGTAACTAAAAACGTAACTAAAGTAAAGTCACGTAACAGGGAAGACAGAAAAAATATCACGTGACCGAGGTCAGTGACTTCACCGTAGTCACGCGACCAAGGTCAGTGACCTCGTAGTCATCGTAGTACTTGAGTCACGTTTTTAAAGACACGTCACTAAAGTGCAGTCACGTTACTTTAGTCACGTGGTGTTTTTTTCTCTTTTCTCTCTCACGTGACTTTAAAAAACCCAAGAATACTTTTGTTAAGTGAAGGCGTAGTCTTACTATCGACACAAGTATGTTATTGTATATTAGTTTTCTATCTATTTTATATTGATTTTAATATTAACAATTAACTACATTGTTGTATTAATTCTATAATATATTAATTATATTGATAATCTATTAATAACTAACTAGTATAACATATTAATAAGTAATAACATCAACACGGTTGACATTGCGTTTTCCTCTATTTGATATCAAAAACTGCGACAAAGTAATTTTTGCGCGCAATTTTTCTCTGTGATACGAGAAAAAGTGCCCCCCCGACGACGACGTTTCCTCGTCACTTCGTTCTTTCTATTTAAACCTGAAGCACTTTTGATATCATATACGCGCGATCAATTAATGTGCCCATTACCGCAACAGATATGTTTATACAGACATTAGCGGGCGGAGGCGATCGAGTGGGACGTTTGATTGCGTTTCTGTCGTCCTTCACCGCCGCGCGACTGCCATTTGTTCGATGACTATAAGTTTCACCCCTTCACGATCGAATAATTCTATGTAATTCGGATCAAAATTCACGGATCAAATTAACAACACTCGAATCGGTCAACACGGTCGCGTGGTAAAATGCGTACACGAATAGCTATCGGTGCGAGATGGTCTTAATTATTGTTTGTTATTGTAATTATCGTTTGCGTTAACTACACGTGAGATCCTCCAACTCTTTCTCAGAGGAAAGAGAGAGCTTCGATGATGGGAAAAAAAAAAAAAAAAAATACTTTACAATACTTCCAACGGGCGCGGAGTCAAATATGAATGTAAATCCGCGCCTCTTCCGTGTCTCATTTAAATTGCATGGGGTTTTACAGCAAGTTGGACAGATGAATTTTTGAATTATAAGTCAAAGTTGAAATAACCACCTGCCGCCACCGTCGTCGCGACGAGAATGAAGAAAGTTGGCCGGCAACGACGGTGCTTGGATGCACTTCAAACAGTTGAGAGGATGCTGAAGAGAGACGCGCGCGCGCTCGCGCTCGCGGTATCGACCACCCGCTTGATTTACAGGTACCTTTCTCTTGTATTTATTGCTCGGATCGGAAAAACGCTCTTACGAAATATGAGAGATAACAGTAAATTGCGAGCAAATCTCCCTCGAAAATGCAACGATTTTAACAAACTCGTGCACAAGACCAACCGAATTCGACAATGCGTTCTCGTTATACAATTTTTTTTACATTTAAATTACATAAAATTGTACAATAAATAATATTACGCGCAGCCAAACATCGAATTTGTTCACGCGTGCATTTTTTCCCGAATAAATGCAGAAATTACGCGACAAAAAGGATGACCCGGACGCGTTTACATATTGTCTGGCAATCATTACATCTGCAGTCCATATTTTAACCGTGACATGTTTCCGATTTGGTTCGAAACGCAGACCCGCGCACGTCCCGTATACACGCATCAGCATACTGTGTATTTGAACAATTGATAAGAGCGCAGCAGCGATTAGCGCGCCCACAATTGATTCGTTAAACCGTTGTAACGTCGTATCCACAGAAACCACTGCGCCTGCAACACTATTTGCCCTCTCTCTCTCTCTCCACACGACGCATGATTAATTATGCCAGCGTTGTCATGATAATGAATACGATCGAGAATTCGTCGGATTTCGCTTGATTTTCGCGATTAATTAATAGCGGAATTAAATTAGTTTAGAGACACTCGGATACGCGCGATACATCTAATCCGCCTCGACGCAATTATTGTTGTTGTTCTCGGTTTACAGGATTTATTTTGTTTTTTTTTTTTATTTGTCTTCTTTAAGAGCTCGATGTTGCATCTCTAAACGCGCACGTGCTCAACATTTGTAACACGCACTAGGATTTTTGCGCAAAATAATGAAATCAGGTACTTGTAGGAGTTGGTGCTTTCTCTTCTGCTGGCGCTGGCTCGGGCTCGGGCGCCGGAGCTGCTTTCTCCTTCTTCTTGGTCTTCTTTTCCTTATCTGCCTAATATGTAAGTACGCAAAACAAATTTATATATACATATTTAAAAAAAATATGCATAATTATATATA